ATCTGCTAGCTTCCATAGGTGATGCAGGGTGAGGTCCTGTTGCGCGGCAAGAACAGCACCTAGTGTGGCCGGCAAGGACTGAATTAGCTTTTGGCGGATGGGGGTCTTCCCTTTTTCCTAAATTGCTGGCCAGCTCCTGCAGCCCCTTCACATTGACGGATGGCCGACCTGTAAGCTTCACCTGTGAAATAAGCTGGTCGGAAAGCCCGTGCTTACATTTCTCGTACAGATCCATTGCTCCTTGCGAAGTGGTGAAGCTCTTAGAGAGCAGGAATACAGCGTCCAACTCTGTGATCGTGTTAGGTGGCAGGGAGGCAAGAACATTGTAAAATTTTGTGATGTCCGAGGTTATTCTTGATATGTGCAATTAAGTGTTCATAATTGTAAACCATCCCCGTATTGCACATTCCATTAATGCAAGCGGTTTGCTTGCCACGTGGTGGGCTGGTTCCACTGCTAAAACACCGGCACCCACAGACTTAGCTTCGTCATCAGTAATGACAAGCAAGGCACGGGTAAGTCAAACAGCAAACAAGGCAAGACGAAGATATGGCAGCAAAAATCAGGACAGATCACGGCGGAGTTATTAGTTTGTGGAGTTGCGTGCAAAAAAGGTTCAAACGGAGGGGCGACCTGATGATTTGGAGCAGGGACTTCGGGAGCAGTATGAAAATAAAGATGAGCAAAACGCAGGCACAAACCCGGAATAAGCACGGGGAACACATGGCTTCTTGATGTCGTTTCGATCAGCCAGGAAAACAAGTAAGGTCACTCTTGATTTTCATTAGGCTAGTTTTGACTCGTGTTGACATCGGGAAGCCAGTAACCAGAATGGATGTTTGCAACAGTATGGCAACAAATTAAAAGACTTCATAATTGGGCAAAACATGGTGTACAAGGCACATACGGATTGCATTGTTAACAAATAGGCTGCAGTAAAACACGCGTCCAAAATTTATCTCATCCAGAAACATAAGCCAAGAAGTCTGCCAAAACAGGTGAAGATTTAACATAAGTTACTCCGGCAACAGGCAGACTCGACACGACTTCGCTGATTGATAGCTACAATCAACGGCATAAGGTGCGCACAACAAACAAAAACCGCGGCGCAGTCAGGTGAAATGCGCAACCAAATGATGAGCGCGATGCAGTAACAAGTCCCGGGCTCCGCTCTGCTGCCCCTTTAGCGCGGAACGCGGAAAATGTAGGTGTCAGTTTTAGGTGCCGAGGGTTTTCAGAGATGGTTTCCGAAAAGCGCAGCAAAGCCCCGCCGAATTTCGCGCAGCTGTAGATGATGGAATAACGGATCGTTTGGTATAACAAGTCAGGGCGTTAATTCAGCGAAGACGATTTCTAGGGAACGTTCAATCCGATGTAACAACGAAGTGTTAAAAGGAGCAGCACATCTCTGAAGTGATTCATTAGGCAATACAGCAATTGAATGAATAAATTCCATCGACCCAGTGGCAGGTATAAAGGTCAGACTTAGGCCGAAAACCTCTTTTGTTACTCTAGAGCGTGCTTTATGGCATCGTTTCTGGTACTTATTTTATATTTATTGATAGCAGGAACTACATAGCATATCTTTCATAGGCTGCTTAAAGGTCGGGATAACTCACTGACTTTAAATGACACAATTTCGTTCTAAGAAACATTTGTCGAGGGGTAAAAAAGCCTCTGATTTACCGGATATGATCGGTGACAAAGGCTGTCACTTCTGCAAACCAATTGATGACGAAAGTGCAAAACCGGAAACGAATTCAACAGACAAGACAACATTTTAACAGATAATCCCAGCTCGGCAAAATTCAAGGCTTGGCATTGGTCTGTACTCGCTAACGCTTGCAGCGTGAGCACATGTCGAAATGTTGACGTTTCGCTGTACGAGCAAGTTGAGCCATAAAATGCCTGCCAAACGCAGTAGCTTGCATCAGGATAGTCTTAGCAGGCGCCAGAGACACACACTACAGCCTATACTAGTGCTGTGTGCTGACGTCACAGATCAGTGGTGGCACGGTGTTTTTCCAATCCCCCTTGGACCAGTACTTTTCAGATTTTTTCAGCCAGAAGTCATTCCGCATACTAAACAGTATAACATACTAAACAACCAAGCTTATTACTAGTGGTAAGAATCGTGCCTGGCCACAGCATCTTGCGACGAACGTGACCTGTTTGCTACGCAGCGTTTTATAGTGTTGTGCCATTTGAGACAGATGGGCTTTATTGCTCGCCACGCAGTGATGCGCTGGGTTCAGTGCGAGACTGTGGGCTGCTGGTAGTTGTGTTCAGATCGTGGGAAGCTGACAGGCTAGAAGAACGTAGCTTATTGTCAGTTTTTGAGGCAATAGCGTTAAAAAGCCTACCTATCTAGGATTGCTGTTTGTGGATATCAGGGCTGTAGCTTGTGAGGTAAACTGAGTTCGTTGCTGCGGCGCATGTCGGGGAATAATTCGGGGCTTCCTGCTACTGAGAGGAACGGCGGCTTTGGAGTAAGAGGCCGAGCACCGCTGATGTAGGCCTCGCACATCGCCCGTTGCACCTCAGACTTAGCGAACTGAATGTTGAACAGGCGTGACATCAAACGCTTTAAGTCGTCATGGCATTGCATATCAAGCTAAATAACGGTGCTAGATGTATTCAAAATGTCGTTTGCATCTGTTGATACCAATAGAGTACGGGCTTTTCTCTAAAGAGTTGGGATCATGTTAGAAAGCGCGAGTTCTGCATCGGCAATGACAATCAAAATGATGTAGGTCGCCAACGCTTTCAGCTGATCGTGCGGTGACGTCACGAGAACAAAAGTGGTCATTTTCAGGTGCTTGTAGAACCATGCTATTGGTTAATGTAAGGCCACAGGGACGCAGTTTTGTTAAGTGCGTAGGGGTGAAGGGTGGAAGGGGAAGAGGAGAGGGTGCAGGAAGAAAAAATTGGCTGAGCCTGCCCCGGAACTGCATTTAAAATAGTTTTCTGCCCAGATTTGACGCAATGTCTCGCAATTGGCAGCAAGGATGTAGCTCCTAGCAACTACTTTCTGGTAGCTGAATCTTAACTTATGATAAATGTAAAATAATGAGTGAAAAGTTTAACTATAACAGAAAACTTCATCCCTGTTTAGGAGGCACAATCCAGCCTCCCGTCCCCCACCTCAAACCGAATAGGAAACTACATGCCTTTAGGCTGGTAATGTTAAGTATGCCTTCATCTGATAATGTTAAGTATGCCTTCATCCGATAATGTTGTTAAGTAAGTCCCAGCCTCCATTCAGTGTTTGTTGGCCAGTAAACGAAACCTTAGTGCAAATGAACCCTCGAAAAAGTGTTTGATGGATATGCCGCGTTGCATTTAGTTTGGCTTTGCCTTTTGTGGTTCATTGCATTTAGAGATACATTGCAATGGTTTCTGAAAGATTTGTCCCTAGGGGACAATTAAGACGGCTCAAAATTTATTCGGTGACAGAAAAGGCACTTTTCGCTTACACCCTGCATTTGCCTAGTGTAATCTTTGACACTTATTCAAATGCAAAACTCAAAGCCGTCTTGCATCATTCTGTTGACCATGACCTCTGAAAAGCCAAACAAGGTCACTGACCCTAAGTGAGCACTATTCATTGTTTGCTTATGTGTGTCACTGGGGCTTTACGACGCACTTTTCATCCCGGGCTCACCGGCCATCAAGCCCAACAAACTGAACGAGTAAAGAAGCGGGCACTCAAACTCATTACCGAGTATGACAAGGGTTATCAAGGGCTTCTACAAATTCTGAAAGTGGAAACCCTTGCAGGAAGGTGGGAGAAGCTGTGTTTATGGTTTTGACAGCAAACTCTGAGATCTCCATGGAATTGAAACATGCTGCCACCAACAAGGAAGACGATTTCGGGAACGAGCTCCAGCTACAACGACACGCTGCAGACTGCAGACTTGCCGTGGCGCAAGATTGCGAATATCCTGTGCACCATCCATCACAACCCTCATAAGCGTGGATATTATTGCATTTAGTTAAGCGGCACACCCTCCACCACACTCACCACCGCACCCAATGAAGAGGTTTAATGCATGTTAAATGGTTACTCTGCTTACATACAATGTTTACCACCTGTGTGCTATATGAGCTGATGCTCGAAGCCGTGTTATTATTTTAAATCGTTCCTTCCTCTCCGTCTCAGTGGGAGATATTTCCATTTTGCAGATAATTTAGAACACCGTGCATAGAGGATCATGTTTCGAGACGTTCCGCGATATCAGTTGTTTCGAGCGACTAAAAAAGTTGCACAGATGCTTACAAAAATGTAGTGAGATTAAAACTGTTACCCGCAACTCTGTAAAATAAATTTTGCATGCAACTCAAATTGTTTTAAAGCATTACTAGCAACACATCTCTGTGAGAACAGTCGTTAAATTACTTGGATTTGATTTGTCACTCCGCTTTGATACTGTGCTGCGTTACGTGAAAGTATACACTGGTCTCTTGGGTATACGTGTCCAGAGCAGTATCGCCATGGAGCTGTCGTAACTGAAGCATTCGAATCAATCATGTTCAGTGATGCACTCACGTACGCTTTCACGTGGAATGGTCTATCTGGGGTCCCCTGCCAATTGAAGGCTTGTCTTTTCGGTCGTACTTTGCATCATGCGACCAGACTAGTAGATATGACCAACATAATGTAGAACATGTATTTCAACAATATCGTTGACAATGCATGACACGATAAAACACGTTCAACACAGATCACAAAAAGGACGATCAGCGCTCATCCTATGTCATTATTACGCTTGTTGCTGCATTCTGTCCACGATTTCCAACCACCGTTAAAATATTTGAATGTTACATCTACGAGTCCGTGGGTTTGTTAGTCGACCACCTGTTCCAGATGTTTCGTGTGAGTCCATCCCTGCTCGTCCAACCTGCTAGCTTACAACATAAGCCTGCAGCGGACCATGATGAGCAGGGGTCGACAGCGGACGTCCCAGGCGGTGATGAGCTGATGGCCGCCAGTACGGGCCTCAGTACATAATAAGCCCCAGCTCTGCGCCGGTGCCGAGCCGGACGCAGCGCGGCTGCGCGCCGGTGAGGAGGAGGCTTCGGGGGTCGTATGGGCCGATCATGTGGCAGACGCGACCCGGCGGGCACCTCAGGTTGCAGTTCCCGCACGTGGCTACGTCGCCCTGCACGGTGCACGAGTTTTCCGGGCAGCCGATGCTCTTGCAGGAGGCCACGCAGCGGGGCGCGGCGCCAGCCCTCGAGCAGGCCTGGCCACGCTGGCAGCGCGCGAGCCCGCAGAAGTCGTCGGGGATGTCCTGACAGCGTGCACGGCCACCCGAGACCGAGCATGTCTGACCAGCGCTGCACCGCAGCTCCGAGCCCGTCGCCGGCGGAGCGGTGACACAGCGCGCCTTCCCGTCCGACATGGAGCACTTCTGACCGCTGCTGCAGCGCAGTGTGGCGCAGGTCGGCTTGGGCGGGATCGGCGTGTAGCAGCGCGCCTCGCCGCTGCTCTCGGAACACTTCTGACCCAGGCCGCAGCTGAGCGTGGCGCAGGTCGGCTTGGGCGTGAAGCAGCGCGCCCCACCGCCGCTCTCAGTGCAGGCCTGGCCCCTACCGCACTTCAACGTGACGCAGGTTGGCTTGGGCGTGACGCAGCGCGCCTTGCCGCCCTCCTCCGAGCAGCTCTGGCCGCGGCCGCAGCGCAGAGTGCGGCAGGTGGGCGGCGGCGGCGGCGACGCCAGGCCGCACTTGGCACGACCTTCCTGCACGGAGCAGGCACGCAACTTGCCGCAGACCACGTCGTCGCAGGTGTACGACAACAGCCGCTCGCAGCGCGCCAGGTTGCGCTCGATGACGCAGCGCTGGTCCTCCCGGCACGAGGCGTTGGCGCACGTGGTCCTTTTCACGCATTTTGGCTCGCCGGCGTACATCTGACAGAGATAGTCAGAGCCGGAGCAGGCGAAGTTATCACAGCTGGGCGCACGGGCCGACTGCCGGGGGGCGGCCGTCCGCTGGCCGGCGGCGGCCGCCGCCAAGGCGGCTACCAGGAACACGCGAAGGGTAGAAGTGCTCATGGTGGCTGGGTAACAGCAGCGCGTGAGTGTGACAACGGCAGGCCGCGGACCGTTTATATAGTCCCCGTCCGATCCCCTGAACACGACGGACGCTGGTTTGGCACGGATGCGGCGAGGGCGCGGGTTCAGGTCCGCCGGGAAACAGGATGCGTCGGCCAGACCGAACTGCAGGTGTGGTGATAAGCAGCCTGGTAATGGTGCCGGTCCTGGCAACCCGAGCGGCAGCCGCTCGGGGCCAGTGGCTGGCTGTTGCAGAGTAGACAAATTGTTGGTCCAGATTTTTGGTGTATCTTAATGTCTAAATTAATTATATTTATAAATAAATGACCATAAATGATGAGGCTTAATTCTGCCTCCCCGCCCCCGGGTTTGCCGGCCGCGCCAACAGTTGTAGAAGGATAACTTTAAAATTTAGTGTTTTTCCTCACTTTTTATTGAGCACTGGGTCAAATTTGCATTGCTTAATCTTGACTTAATTCGGATCCAGGACATGTTTTGGGCCAAATTTTACCATTTTTACGCTTTCGCACGCACGTTATCTAATGTGAAATTACTCAAATGAACTCCTTTCTTGCGGAGTATTGATTTGGGGCATCTCGTGACGGTTGGAAACAGTCATCAAGCAACATAGCCGAAACAGATTGATACGACTGTTTGCTGCTGTTTTGGTTGCAGCAGCTGCTAAGGTTCATACTGCGTATGAGCAGCGATATTAGGTATACTTAATGAATAGATATACCAATTTTACAAGCGCGATGCCAGGGTAATGAAATGAGGAAGGCTATTTCCGAATGGAAATGCCCTACTGCAAACTGCAATAAGGCCAGAAACTTTTAAGATCAATATATCTGGTGGACCTGGACGCGTCATTAACTTCGCTTTGACAAAATACATAACACAGCATGACATACACATCATGCGTCGAATATCGCAAAATGCTAAACGTCGGGCAGACATTGCCGCGCAGCAAACGGAATTGATGCTTTCCCAAATTCTTACTAGGTGCATCCGCCACGGCAAAATTTTAACTTTTTAGTTCACAAACTTTTGGCCGGAATGTACAATGCACTGACAGCAATTAAATGTCTTTGGAGAGCAAATCGGTTGGTTGGTTCCCAAGGCATGACAGGAGCCGCCTGAGTGTTTCATTTTCGTGATCAGCTGTCCCGTGGTCTGACGAGCGGGTGCTCAGCGGCGCAGCATCCGGTGATCGGCCGGTCAGGAGAGTGGGGTTTGACGATCACTTGTTTAAGGGTGCAGGATATTATGGCCAGTTATTCAAAGGTGCGATATGACGGTCGAGTGTCACGAGGTGCAGAATATGACTCTTCATGTCAGGTGGGTGGCACTGACTTCCCCGCGGTGCTTCTTTAAAGTTACGTTGCAAACTTTGACAACTGGCTTTCTGAACTTAGCTGACTTTACTAGGATTCGATCCGACACAAACTGTCAGAATTCAATCTCCTGATATGCTCCAGAGGGGACTTCAGGGCCCGTCCTGCGAGATATGTCAGGGCGCATCAGGCCCCGATGAAGGTAAATGTTAGGGATTATCAAGCCCTATGCAGGGCAAATGCGGCCAATCCAACAAGTTTGGCAGCTTGCTGTTTACGTAGGCCAACCTAAAGGACTTAAGACACATTAAAAATACTGGCAGAGGCCAAAAGAGCCGCAGCAATGAAAAGCATGCAGACACCATACACTACATACATAATGAGTGTTTGAGCAGACTGTTCCAGACAGCTGTATTGGACTGCTGCGACGGTCATTTACCTATTTTGAAATCAACCGTTGGGCAATATGGTTAGTAAGACTTTCTGTGTGATGCATTTGGCACCACACAAAAACACTGATGATAGATCTTCCGAAAGGTATACTTTTTCATCCGTCAACGATACAAAAATGTCTGATGTTCATGACACCAAAGTCTTTGTGACCTCAGGATTTCTTCCTAAAATACACATGTTATTTTAAAGCAATACAACACCGAGACTTCTCAATGCATTTCACCTCATTTTTTCTTAACCTCAAGGCGCCTATGACAAGTTCATAACATATTATGCCTCAAAAAAGTCTACGCTTCGTCAGTCACCTTTAGTCATTTAAGGCAGAATCGTCTAAGTGGATTGCTAGATCTTGCCTGGTCAAGTGACGTAAATCTCAAACGAATGTAATTCAACCAGAATTCACCAAGAACGCGTGCAAATATGGCTTAAGCGACTTTCGCTTGCTTCGCTGCGGAGAGAGCCTACGCCGTTGTTGTCGGTGCTTAACATTAATGGATCAGCTGAACGCTTTGTCGCGCAGCGCTGTGCACGCCAGACATCAAACATATGCTATTTCATTTATGGCCTCCGCTTCTTTAGCTGGGTCAAAAGCGTTGACGCCGGCATCGCAACGCAACCACTCACATGACATTGGTTTTATGTTGGTTATCCACAGGGTGTCTTACTTCGTTTTTCTAAGACTTCAGTGGCTTTGTTCATTTGTAGTCCTCTGCTAGAAGAGACACTACATGCACCGTTGCCCAAGATTTGCAACGTGATTACGATGGCTTGGCTTTTGCACAACTTGTTTCTACTGCGCATACGAAAAAATGTCCGCTAAATGTCAAAGCACAGCCCATCTGGGCTTTGCTGTGAGTGACACCGATATCGGACAGGTGTGAAGTTATGTCCTGGGTGGTCACAAAGGTTAACCCCATCGTATTTGCGCATTTCACAGCAGTTTGTGCATCCGTCTATGCCTCTGACTGGCTAAATAAATCTGAAGAAACAGACGAACAGACAGCCGTACAGACAGATGGTCGGGAAGCAGTGAGTTTTGTGTTTACTGTACTTTTTATCAAAATCATAGAAAAGCTAAAATGTATATTCCACAACGACGACAGATCACAGACCGCCCAATGCTCTTGGAGACGTGCATTCAAATGACAGCAGGGTATATTACAGCTATGCGTGCGGAAATGACGTGGCAACAAATAGGTGCCACATATTGCGTAGTCTACAAGGCGCGTCGTGCGAAGTTTGAGCCAACAGCTGACCAGAAAGTAGATTAGCCAGATTTTCCACGATGCCGCGCCACGAGGCGAGGTAAGCTGGGTCGAGGCGAGGTGAGCTGGGTCGAGGCAGGGTGAGCTGGGTCGAGGCGGGGTGAGCTGGGTCGAGACGAGGTGAGCCGGGTCCCCTGCCAAATGAAGGCCTGTCTTTCCGGTCGTACTTTGCATCATGCGACCAGACAGTAGTAGATATGACCAACATAATGTAAAACATGTATTTCAACAATATCGTTGACAATGCATGACACGATAAAACACGTTCAACACAGATCACAAAAAGGACGATCAGCGCTCATCCTATGTCATTATTACGCTTGTTGCTGCATTCTGTCCATGGTTTCCAAACACCGCTGAAATATTTGGATGTTACATCTACGAGTCCGTGGGTTGTTAGTCGACCACCTGTTCCAGATGTTTCGTGTGAGTCCATCCCTGCTCGTCCAACCTGCTAGCTTACAACATAAGCCTGCAGCGGACCATGATGAGCAGGGGTCGACAGCAGACGTCTCAGGCCGTGATGAGCCGATGGCCGCCAGTAAGGGCCTCAGTACATAATAAGCCCCCGCTCCGCGCCGGTGCCGAGCCGGACGCAGCGCGGCTGCGCGCCGGTGAGGAGGAGGCTTCGGGGGTCGTATGGGCCGATCATGTGGCAGACGCGACCCGGCGGGCACTCCAGGTTGCATTTCCCGCACGTAGCTACGTTGCCCTCCACGGTGCACGAGTTTTCCGGGCAGCCGATGCTCTTGCAGGAGGCCACGCAACGGGGCGCGGCGCCAGCCCTCGAGCAGGCCTGGCCGCGCTGGCAGCGCGCGAGCCCGCAGAAGTCGTCGGGGATGTCCTGACAGCGCGCACGCCCACCCGAGACCGAGCATGTCTGGCCAGGCGCTGCACCGCAGCTCCGAGCACGTCGCCGGCGGAGCGGTGACACAGCGCGCCTTCCCGTCCGACATGGAGCACTTCTGACCGCTGCTGCAGCGCAGTGTGGCGCAGGTCGGCTTGGGCGGGATCGGCGTGTAGCAGCGCGCCTCGCCGCTGCTCTCGGAACACTTCTGACCCAGGCCGCAGCTGAGCGTGGCGCAGGTCGGCTTGGGCGTGAAGCAGCGCGCCCCACCGCCGCTCTCAGTGCAGGCCTGGCCCCTACCGCACTTCAACGTGACGCAGGTCGGCTTGGGCGTGACGCAGCGCGCCTTGCCGCCCTCCTCCGAGCAGCTCTGGCCGCGGCCGCAGCGCAGAGTACGGCAGGTGGGCGGCGGCGGCGGCGACGCCAGGCCGCACTTGGCACGACCTTCCTGCACGGAGCAGGCACGCAACTTGCCGCAGACCACGTCGTCGCAGGTGTACGACAACAGCCGCTCGCAGCGCGCCAGGTTGCGCTCGATGACGCAGCGCTGGTCCTCCCGGCACGAGGCGTTGGCGCACGTGGTCCTTTTCACGCATTTCGGCTCGCCGGCGTACATCTGACAGAGATAGTCGGAGCCGGGGCAGGCGAAGTTATCACAGCTGGGGGCACGGGCCGACTGCCGGGAGGAGGCCGTCCGCTGGCCGGCGGCGGCCGCCGCCAAGGCGGCTACCAGGAACACGCGAAGGGCAGAAGTGCTCATGGTGGCTGGGTAACAACAGCGTGTGAGTGTGACACCGGCAGGCCGCGGGCCGTTTATATAGTCCCCGTCCGATCCCCTGAACACGACGGACGCTGGTTTGGCCCGGATGCGGCGAGGGCGCGGGTTCAGGTCCGCCGGGAAACAGGATGCGTCGGCCAGACCGAACTGCAGGTGTGGTGATAAGCAGCCTGGTAATGGTGCCGTTCCTGGCAACCCGAGCGGAGCCTGCTCGGGGCCGGCGGCTGGCTGTTGCAGCGTACACGAATTATGCGTGCAGACTTTTCAGGGCCCTTAAATGTCTAAATTAATGATATTTAGGTAATGGATAGATACCTGACGTTACATAAATAATCAAACTATAATTCATGCTGAGCGCATTGGCCTAATTCTGCTTCCCCGCCCCCGGGTCTGCCGGCCGCGCCAATAATTGTAGAAAGATAACTTTGAAATTAAGTTTTCCTCCGAGCACCGCGTCAAATTTGCATTGCTTAATCTGAACTTAATTCGGATCTAGGACATGTTTTTGAGCCAAACGTTACCACTTTTACGCTTTCGCACACACGTTAACAAAGGTGAAATTACTCAAATGAACTCCTTCTTTGCGGAGAGGATTGCGGTACAGCAGCCAGTAAAATTGATATAATTGCTTTACTTGGTACGGAAAAATGACATAACTGGTAGAAATGGTGTCACAGCGAGAGCATGATGGCAGGTTGTGACTGTGCATGAAGAGATGTTTGCTAGTTTTCTGTGGAGATGCCCATTTTGTGGGCGCACCGCGTGTTGATGCATTTTTGCAGTACATCTGAATTTGAATTGCGTGTTGGGGTAGAGGCGGGTGCACGAAAGGATTTGGGGCTTCTCGTGGCGGTTGGAAACAGTCATCAAGCAATAGAGTCTGAACAGATTGATACGACTGTTTGCTGTTGTTTTGGTTGCAACAGCTGCTAAGGCTCATACTGCGTATGAGCAGCGATTTTAGGTATACTTAATGAATAGATACATCAAATTTACAAGGACGAGGTCAGGGTAATGAAATGGGGGAAGGCTATTTCCGAGTGGAAATGCCCTGCTGCAAACTGCGATTAGGCAAAAAACTTTTAATATCAATATATCTGGTGGACGTGGACGCGTCATTAATTTCGCTTTGACCAAATACATAACACAGCATGAAATATACATCATTCGTCGAATGTCGCAAAATGTTCAACTCGGTCAGACATTGCCGCGCAGCAAACGGAAATGATGCTTTTTCAAATTCTTACTAGATGTATCCGCCATTACAAAATTTTGAACATTTTAACTCACAAACTTTTGGCCGGAATGTACAACGTACTGCCAGCAATCAAATGTCGCTTTTGGAGAGCAAATCGGTTGCCTGGTTCTCGGGGCATGACGGGAGCCGCCTAAGTGTTTCATTTTCGTGATCAGCTGTCCCGTGGTCTGACGAGCGGGTGCTCAGCGGCGCAGCATCCGGTGATCGGCCGGTCAGGAGAGTGGGGTTTGACGATCACTTGTTTAAGGGTGCAGGATATTATGGCCAGTTATTCAAAGGTGCGATATGACGGTCGAGTGTCACGAGGTGCAGAGTATGACTCTTCATGTCAGGTGGGTGGCACTGACTTCCCCGCGGTGCTTTTTTAAAGTTACGTTGCAAACTTTGACAACTGGCTTTCTGAACTTAGCTGACTTTACTAGGATTCGATCCGACACAAACTGTCAGAATTCAATCTCCTGATATGCTCCAGAGGGGACTTCAGGGCCCGTCTTGCGAGATATGTCAGGGCGCATCAGGCCCCGATGAAGGTAAATGTTAGGGCTTATCAAGCCCTATGCAGGGCAAATGCGGCCAATCCAACAAGTTTGGCAGCTTGCTGTTTACGTAGGCCAACCTAAAGGACTTAAGACACATTAAAAATACTGGCAGAGGCCAAAAGAGACGCAGCAATGAAAAGCATGCAGACACCATACATTACATACATAATGAGTGTTTGAACAGACTGTTCCAGACAGCTGTATTGGACTGCTGCGACGGTCATTTACCTATTTTGAAATCAACCGTTGGGCAATATGGTTAGTAAGACTTTCTGTGTGATGCATTTGGCACCACACAAAAACACTGATGATAGATCTTCCGAAAGGTATACTTTTTCATCCGTCAACGATACAAAAATATCTGATGTTCATGACACCAAAGTCTTTGTGACCTCAGGATTTCTTCCTAAAATACACATGTTATTTTAAAGCAATACAACACCGAGACTTCTCAATGCATTTCACCTCAATTTTTCTTAACCTCAAGGCGCCTATGACAAGTTCATAACTTATTATGCCTCAAAAAAGTCTACGCTTCGTCAGTCACCTTTAGTCATTTAAGGCAGAATCGTCTAAGTGGATTGCTAGATCTTGCCTGGTCAAGTGACGTAAATCTCAAACGAATGTAATTCAACCAGAATTCACCGCGTGCAAATATGGCTTAAGCGACTTTCGCTTGCTTCGCTGCGGAGAGAGCCTACGCCGTTGTTGTCGGTGCTTAGCATTAATGGATCAGCTGAACGCTTTGTCGCGCAGCGCTGTGCACGCCAGACATCAAACATATGCTATTTCATTTGTGGCCTCCGCTTCTTTAGCTGGGTCAGAAGCGTTGACGCCGGCATCGTAACGCAACCACTCACATGACATTGGTTTTATGTTGGTTATCCACAGGGTGTCTTACTTCGTTTTTCTAAGACTTCAGTGGCTTTGTTCATTTGTAGTCCTTTGCTAAAAGAGACACTACATGCACCGTTGCTCAAGATTTGCAACGTGATTACGATGGCTTAGCTTTTGCACAACTTGTTTCTACTGCGCATACGAAAAAATGTCCGCTAAATGTCAAAGCACAGCCCATCCGGGCTTTGCTGTGAGTGACACCGATATCGGACAGGTGTGAAGTTATGTCCTGGGTGGTCACAAAGGTTAACCCCATCGTATTTGCGCATTTCACAGCAGTTTGTGCATCCGTCTATGCCTCTGACTGGCTAAATAAATCTGAAGAAACAGACGAACAGACAGCCGTACAGACAGATGGTCGGGAAGCAGTGAGTTTTGTGTTTACTGTACTTTTTATCAAAATCATAGAAAAGCTAAAATGTATATTCCACAACGACGACAGATCACAGACCGCCCAATGCTCTTGGAGACGTGCATTCAAATGACAGCAGGGTATATTACAGCTATGCGTGCGGAAATGACGTGGCAACAAATAGGTGCCACGTGATGCGCAGTCTACAAGGCGCGTCGTGCGAAGTTTGAGCCAACAGCTGACCAGAAAGTAGATTAGCCAGATTTTCCACGATGCCGCGCCACGAGGCGAGGTAAGCTGGGCCGAGGCGAGGTGAGCTGGGTCGAGGCAGGGTGAGCTGGGTCGAGGCGGGGTGAGCTGGGTCGAGACGAGGTGAGCCGGGCAGAGGCGAAGTGAGCTGGGCCGAGGCGGGGTGAGCTGGGTCGAGGCGGGGTGAGCTGGGTCGAGGCGAAGTGAGCCGGGTCGAGGCGGGGTGAGCCGGGCCGAGGCGGGGTAAGGCGGTCCGAATTGTCACTCACGGACCGAGAGAGAGGAGAGTTTATGTTGCTCAACTCAAATTGTTTTAAAGCATTACTAGCAACATATCTCTGTGGGAACGGTCGTTAAATTACTGGGACTTGATTTGTCACTCCGCTTTGATACTGTGCTCCGTTACGTGATAGTATGCACTGGATCCCTTGGGTATACGTGTCCAGAGCAGTATCGCCATGGAGCTGTCTTCACTGAAGCATTCGAATCAATCATGTTCAGTGATGCACTCACGTACGCTTTCACGTGGAATGGTCTATCTGGAGTCTCCTGCCAATTGAAGGCTTGTCTTTTCGGTCGTACTTTGCATCATGCGACCAGACAATAGTAGATATGATCAACATAATGTAGAACATGTATTTTAACAACATCGCTGACAATGCATGACACGGTAAAACATTTTCAACACAGATCACAAAAAGGACGATCAGCGCTCATCCTATGTCATCATTACGCTTGTTGCTGCATTCTGTCCACGATTTCCGACCACCGTTAAAACATTTGAATGTTACATCTACGAGTCCGTGGGTTTGTTAGTCGACCACCTGTTCCAGATGTTTCGTGTGAGTCCATCCCTGCTCGTCCAACCTGCTAGCTTACAACATAAGCCTGCAGCGGACCATGATGAGCCGGGGTCGACAGCGGACGTCTCAGGCCATGATGAGCCGCGGTCAACAGCGGACGTTTCAGGCTGTGATGAGCCGATGGCCGCCAGTAGAGGCCTCAGTACATGATGAGCCCCCGCTCTGCGCCGGTGCCGAGCCGGACGCAGCGCGGCTGCGCGCCGGTGAGGAGGAGGCTTCGGGGGTCGTATGGGCCGATCATGTGGCAGACGCGACCCGGCGGGCACTCCAGGTTGCAGTTCCCGCACGTGGCTACGTTGCCCTCCACGGTGCACGAGTTTTCCGGGCAGCCGATGCTCTTGCAGGAGGCCACGCAGCGGGGCGCGGCGCCAGCCCTCGAGCAGGCCTGGCCACGCTGGCAGCGCGCGAGCCCGCAGAAGTCGTCGGGGATGTCCTGACAGCGCGCACGGCCACCCAAGACCGAGCATGTCTGGCCAGCGCTGCACCGCAGCTCCGAGCATGTCGCCGGCGGAGCGGTGACACAGCGCGCCTTCCCGTCCGACATGGAGCACTTCTGACCGCTTCTGCAGCGCAGTGTGGCGCAGGTCGGCTTGGGCGGGATCGGCGTGTAGCAGCGCGCCTCGCCGCTGCTCTCGGAACACTTCTGACCCAGGCCGCAGCTGAGCGTGGCGCAGGTCGGCTTGGGCGGGGCAATGGTCTTACAACTAGCGCCCTCAGCGCTCTCAAAACAGGCTTGGCTCTCACCACATATCAGTGTAGCGCAGGTCGGCTTGGGCGTGAAGCAGCGCGCCGCACCGCCGCTCTCAGTGCAGGCCTGGCCCCTACCACACTTCAACGTGGCGCAGGTCGGCTTGGGCGTGACACAGCGCGCCTTGCCGCCCCCCTCCGAGCAGCTCTGGCCGCGGCCGCAGCGCAGAGTGCGGCAGGTGGGCGGCGGCGGCGGCGACGCCAGGCCGCACTTGGCACGACCTTCCTGCACGGAGCAGGCACGCAACTTGCCGCAGACCACGTCGTCACAGGTGTACGACAACAGCCGCTCGCAGTGCGCCAGGTTGCGCTCGATGACGCAGCGCTGGTCCTCCCGGCACGAGGCGTCGGCGCACGTGGTCCTTTTCACGCATTTCGGCTCGCCGGCGTACATCTGACAGAGATAGTCGGAGCCGGGGCAGGCGAAGTTATCACAGCTGGGGGCACCGGCCGACTGTCGGGAGGCGGCCGTGCGCTGGCCGGCGGCGGCCGCCGCCAAGGCGGCTACCAGGAACACGCGAAGGGCAGAAGTGCTCATGGTGGCTGGGTAACAGCAGCGCGTGAGTGTGACACCGGCAGGCCGCGGGCCGTTTATATAGTCCCCGTCCGATCCCCTGAACACGACGGACGCTGGTTTGGGCCGGATGCGGCGAGGGCGCGGGTTCAGGTCCGCCGGGAAACAGGATGCGTCTGCCGGACCGAACCGAAGGTGTGGTGATAAGCAGCCTGGTAATGGCGCCGGTCCTGGCAACCCGAGCGGCAGCCGCTCGGGGCTGGCTGTTGCAGAGTACACGAGTTGTTAGTCCAGGCTTGTGATGTATCTTGATGTCTAAATTAATGATATTTAGATAATAGATAAATGCCTAAAATTGCATAAATAATCCAATTATAATTCATGTTGAGCGCATTGGCTTAATTCTGCTTCCCCGCCTCCGGGTCTGCCGGCCGCGCCAACAGTTGTAGAAGGATAACTTTGAAATTAAGTGTTTTCACTCACTTTTCATTGAACACCGCGTGAAATTTGCATTGGTTAGTCTGGACTTAAGTCGCATCCAGGACATGTTTTGTGGGCAAATTTTACCATTTTTGCGCTTTTGCACACACGTTAACCAAGGTGAAAGTACTCAAATGAACTCCTTCCTTGCGGAGGAGATTGTGGTACAGCAGCCCGTAAAATTGATATAATTGCTTTACTTGGTACGGAAAAATGACAACTGGTAGAAATGGTGTCACAGCGAGAGCATGATGGCAGGTTGTGAGTGCATGAGGAGATGTTTGCTAGTTTTCTGTGGAGATGCCCATTTTGTGGGCGCACCACGTGTTGATGCATTTTTGCAGTACATCTGAATTTGAATTGGGGTAGAATATTTGAATGAATTGGGAATACGTATTGGGGTAGAAGCGGATGCACGAAAGGATTTGTGGCTTCTCGTGGCGGTTGGAAGCAGTCATCAAGCGACATAGTCTAAACAGAGTGATACGACTGTTTGCTGCTGTTTTGGTCGCAACAGCTGCTAAAGTTCGTACTGCGTATAAGTAGCGATATTAGGTATACTAAATGAATAGATATGAAAAATTTACAAGGGCGATCTTAGAGTAATGAAATGGGGAAGGCTGTTTCCGAAAGGAAATAACCTACTGCAAACTGCAATAAGGCCAAACACTTTTAAGATCAATGTATCTGGTGGACTTGGAGGCGTCATTAATTTCGCTTTGACAAGGTATACACCACAGCATGAAGTATTATACATTATGCGTCGAATATCGCAAAATGGTGCAGCAAACGGAATTGATGCTTTTCCAAATTCGTACTAGGTGTATCCGCTATGACAAAATTTTGAGCTTTTCAATTCACAAACTTTTGGCCGGAATGTACAATGTACTGCCAGCAATCAAATGTCGTTTTTGGAGAGCAAATCGGTCGCCTGGTTCTCGAGGCATGACAGGAGCCGCTTAAGTGTTTCATTTTCGTGATCAGCTGTCCCGTGGTCTGACGAGCGGGTGCTCAGCGGCGCAGCATCCAGTGACTGGCCGGTCGGGAGAGTGCGGTTTGACGATCACTTGTTTAAGGGTGCAGGATATTATGGCCAGTTGTTCAAAGGTGCTACATGACGATAGAGCGTCAAGAGGTGCAGAATATGATTCTTCATGTGAGGTGGGTAGCACTGACTTCCCCGCGGTGTTTTTTAAAGTTGCATTGAAAACGAGGCGGGGTGAGGCGGTCCGAATCGTCACTCACGGACCGAGAGAGGAGAGTTTATGTTGCATCTGATACCACAACGGACACAGAGCGCCGCGGCGACCTCGCTCAGCTCCTGCAGTTGGGGCTGGGGGTTAGAGGCAACGGTACTGAGCGTTCCGCAACGACTGTCTTCCTCCGACATTGAAACCTTCTTCTTCCGCCGCGGTATCCACCTCGATAGCATCACGCAAAACATTATCCCAGGGCTTACACAGGAGCACCTCGGCTATGAGATAGGGGCACCTGGTTATGATGGAGTACTTTACGTGCATTACAAAAATAAGACACAGTAACATTTTGCTTACAACGTTTGCATGTGAACTTCTCAAATGACGACATCAGGCAAATATAGGTTTCACGATTAACTAATATGGTGAAAAACATGTTGAAAGTGCTGGTTATCACTGTTCCACACACATGTAACACCAAAACCGATACTATACACGGCAGCAGCATCACTGAATGCGCCACCATGCATTTAGCATTATGCTAACTAGTAAAAATGAGAGACAACAAACACCTGGCATAAATGCCATGTACGAGTTGTGATGTGAACTGCCTGCAAGTTTTGTTAATTTAGCCACATACGAATGGTAGACTTGAAACACATATCTAAGAAAAAGCACCACGTACCAACCGTATAGATGACATTGCCTGTATCCCAAAGCCACCTTATTTGTGCTGCGGAGCTTGAGAATGCCCTGGTCGCAAAGTGTATCTTGCATACTCAGCCATTTACTGCAATCTCATTCATCTTGAATGTGCGAATCCACTGTTAAAGATAGCTCTCTTGACCTGGGAATCTGAAACGATTGATGTTATAAGGATATCTTATCGTAATTTGAAATGCTGAGCATCTGCTACTCACGATAAAAAATGTGAAATGTAAATCACTTCCAACCGAATGTCCTGCAACAATGGTGCTAAGAAACATTTGAGTGGGAGCATTAACAACAGAAAATGCCTATTCTGCCAGACATATTCAAGGTATATTGACATGCTTTATGTGGCCCCAACGTTGAGAAAAACATATCTAGCCCATGTTCATCTGCAATCTGCGAACCCTGAATAAGGCGCATAGCCAACACAAATTTAAGTTGTCAGTGAGCAAATACAGTGACTTTTATTACTCTGAATACAGCATGAGTCAAGGAGTATTGACATCTTGGTTTTAATTTAGCCATCAACATTGAAATAATCCAACATGAAGCCTCCACCATTATGCTGATATGATGTACTGTAACATCGAATGCCACTGTCCAGACTGCAAAAAGAAAGAAGATACTGAGCGTGTCCGGTATATCAGCAACATCACATCACCAATTATAGTGCATGGACACCATAACTTTTAAGTCTCAAGTTGGCGCGCATCCAGTTTCAATATGTGCAGTTGAGCGATAGCCGAAGCGCACTGGTAATAGCCAAGGATCTGGCGCAGTGGGTGAATTTTTAGCGGGCATCGCTGGCCCCACTTGATTGGCATCATTCATACTGAAATACAGAGATCTGGATAGGCAAGTGGTTACATCATATGGTCAGGGTGTAGATTTACAGCCTAATTTGGAGAAACAGGAGGCTAAGCAGGCAAAAACGGCTAAACGTTTTCCAAAACGTACCTAGACCTAGCTGAACGAGCCAAACTGTGAGCGCACATATTGAATGCATGCTCAAATTTGCCATGGTGTTATTTGCTGTTACCATCGGACAGCCCCGGCCTAGCATGTGCTAGCCATACTTTTGACAATTGTATGTTTTTATTTACAGTTTGGCTGCTTACCACAGGGGGGCATTTCAAATAATCAGTCTCTTAGTCAGGTGAAATGTGAAATTCGGATATACACATAACGAGGCACCTGAACTAGGCTTGTTTGCAAAAACAGTCCATCTACAGCACTGGCTATCTACACATTGGAGCGCTGAACCTGCCGCACGGATGAACTGAATGCAGGTAGTTCCAAAATGCGTCTACTTTTCAATTGTTTTGGTCTGGAAAAAGTTTAAAGAATTTTCCGTATATGACTTCGAAAAGAACTGGAAAAACATACCTTTTTAAACTTGGGATCTACGCGCTGAAACTGGTGGCAACCGGTGACAATTGGTGGTATTTTTGCAGTCTGAGAGTGAAGTACTTACGTGAACACAGCCATATGGCTCCACCTCACCCGGTCACATCCACAAACGCGGCACTTGCGGTGCGCGCCATGCACACGCTATTCGCTAGAAAGGCCTCACATTGCCTCCTCGACAGCGGCACAACGCAAACGGAGCTTGTTCACGTTCGCGTCCAAAACATGCCTTCAGCAGCGAAAACTTGGTTTTAGCCAACAACGTTCCTAAAGTGTGAAGGAGAAGTGTAAATCATCTGTGCTGCATCAATGCTAATGCAAATGCTTGAGCGGTCATGCTGTTCTTTGATTGCGAGCAGAAAACAGCCAGTGAGGCGGCGGTATATGTGTGATATTTCTATAGTGTCATGCATGCCTGGGTGACCTTGAAATGGTCCACAAAGTGGTCTGCACATCTTTGCGACCGTCAGGCTCGGAAACAATAGGGTTTAGACCCGAAAAAGTGCATGGCCAGTAAATGCATTGAATGCGCGTTAATCTGGCTATCATAGTGCTAAACCCCATGATAAAGTAGAACACTCCCTTTAAAGGGAATGTTTCATTGTCGAATGTACTGAAGGAAGCATCAAATATGATGAAACAAGCTCAATTAGAACAACTGGTATGTTTTAATTGGAAAAGACTGCTCTATAAAGCCCATTTCTCTGTTTAGTTAAAAGGCTCTCCAATACGTCGTGGTTTGATTGCATCATCATACTTTGCACAGCATCGATTGAGGGCCAATTGACGGTCATCGTATCTGGAAATCATGTCCACGAACGCCAGATATGGACGCCTGGACAATTATATATTTCTTAGCCTGGAGAAATATACAATTGTCCAGGTAAATGACAGGTATATAAAACATAAGATTGTCAAAAGTATGGCTAGTACATGCTAGGCCGTGGCTGGACGCCTGGACAGTTATATATTATTTAGCCTGGAGCGTCGCATGTCTTATGCAATGGTAGGATCTGAATGACGCCGTTATGACGTCATGAACTTAAAGAACTTTGAAATACTCGCCTTGATATAATTTATTATTTTCGCGGGCGTGTAGCTCAGGAACCAGAACAGCTAAAGTCTCAAGAAGGACAGAATTGTAGTAAGCACCAAAAGGCCTTTAAGATGGCTATTTCAGTTCAAAATTCCATATTAACATGAAACACTCCCCTTTAAAGTTGGCTACTGGGTGTTATTTAATCAGTCAACCATCTACCACTATAGGGGAATCAAGTTATCAACATGTCAAGCTTCGATTTTTTTTCCATTCCGCTTATGTATCTAGCGCCGGGCACGTGGCGTCGAAAAGAACAGTAGAACGTGTTACGGCGTTCTCGAAAAGGTGACGCATGGAGATAATTTCTGAAAGGCTGTTGTGTGCGTGAAATAAGAATCCGTCTGTTAGCAAAAGCTTTTTTAATTTAGTCTGTTTGCGCTCAAACTGCTTTCTCATAATTATATGCGTCCTAGAATACTACGGGTATTTGAACCCTCTTGTACCAAAGTCACCAACAAAAACGCCCCTGGAGATATTCATGCGAACAACGTTCAGTCAACTTCGGAAAAAGATGCAAATCTGAGAAGCCTACAGAGCCCCGTTGCGATCCATCATTGACAATTACAAGGCCCAAAATGAAAATTTCAGCACAAGCTTGGTGTAACCTACCGTGGCCTGACCTGACCGTGTACAAGTGCAGGTCTTCTCAGGTATGGATGCTACAAATCGCGTAGCTGTCAAAGGGAGCAGTGATAAGGATACACATTGCCTTTAGCTTTGCTTTGCATCTAAGCATGCACGAGTACGTTATTTCGGAAAATATGCAAATCAGCCTATTTCATCATACCTAAACGATTGAACGCTTTCACATTACCATGGCCTTTTGAACTGAACTCGCCATTTTGAAGATTATTAGGAGCAGTTCATAACTCTCCCATTCTTCAGGCCTAAAACCCCCTAGTTTCTGAGCTACAGGTCCGCTACAATGTGCAGACTTTTTCGTGGCAGACTTTTTCAGGGTTAACAAGGCATCCATGACGCCATAATAACATCGTTTACATCCTGGCATTCCACTGGTCATCCGCCATTCATAGTCAACTAGGATCATCAATTATCGAACTGTTCATATCTGACGTTCGTGAGCACAGCTTCCATTTATGATGGCCGTCCATTGGCTCTCAACCATTGTTGTACAAGCTATGCATGATTCTATCAGGACTTACGTTTTGTGCTTTATGATGCAAGAAGTTATGCATTCAAACTAGTTATTATGGAAACAAGACTTGCAATAGAATAGTTTAAAGGGAGTGTACCACATTTCTATGTGGTTTTGAACTAAAATAGCCAGTTTGAAGATTACTATTTGCAGTTCACAGGACTGCCTCTGTCAAGACCTAAAAGTTTCCAGCTTTTGGCTGCACGTCCTTTAAGATGTGCAGACTATATTAAGTCCATTCAGGCATACATGACGCCAACAGCAGCGCATCAACTTCGTCAACGCCAGTTTCAACGTCAGGCGAAGTTAGGCGTTACAGATCAAACACTGTCGAACACTCGGACTGTCGTCTTCGCGTTATGCGCCATCATGCACGCAGCGTTCCCCAGATTTACCTCGCGGCGGCCGTCAGGTGTCCGTTGGTCTTGAGAATGACCCACTGGTTTTTGGCTTTCAGCCATGCTTGTGTCACAGCCTCGGAAAGTTGTCTTGCGGGCATACTGGAATGGCACGTGTGCTTGCATGTCCCGGGACAGCGCTGACACGCATGCCCTTGTGAAGTAAAGTGACATTGTAGTGAAAATCACCATGGCAAAGTGGAAGTCTGCCGTCAAGGTTGTATGAAGCTGAAACCAGACCCTTCACGCAAGCATTGTTTGAAGCCGAAGCTGAAGCCAAGTGTTAAATAGGACACCAGCCTTAAGTCTTACGTGTAAATGTTGTCAAAACTGAACCTGAGCCATTGGGGGAAAGTAACGACTGGCAAAGCTGAGGCCGAAGACGGCCTCGTCTCCACAACTGCCCTAATGCAGCACATCCAAACACCTTCTGAGATTCAAAATTGGTTGCGAATTCCCATTTTCATCTAGCATGCGTGATTAGCGCAGAATATTTGAATGCTGCCAGTTTAGATACCACCACTCCAATATCTCCTGGCTGCAAGAAAACGAAAATGTTTAATGTGGAAAGAGCACTGCCAACACAAAAAAGGTAATCCTTCCAAGCGCAGCTGCGACCAGTAACACGAGTCTCGGGATTCCCTACAAACTTGGCACGAGCCAGGCAATGACTTCAACTTTTTTTCCGTTACCATTGTTGCAGATCTCATCGTAAGGAAGAGTTGCATAAAATTCTCTTAAAACTCCCTTATCGCAAGCACAGAGGCTGCAGGGACCGAGACTGGGGGTGCATTTCAGATGGCACGGGATGTACGCGCACCCAGCGCATTGGCCTGGCTACAGGCCTACCGATGGGAAGGTAAGGCTGGTAATTAGGAAGGGCCATCTGCTAGATCATGTTGAAGTGTTGCCACCCGGCTACTGCTCACTGGTAGCGTTTCCACAAGAAGTCGTTTTAAAGTGGGGCACGCAACGGAGGTGGTGATATCTGATAATTATTATCGTTATGAATTTTAGTAAAACTACATTGCGGTTTCTGTCCGAGGGCATAGACAATCTTAGAAAATTGTATTTCACTTATGATTTTAGTGTTGTGATTGACTTTCCGGCCAGAAACTGGACCACGAAGCACCTTTTAACCGCTCATAACGGAGGGAAGTATTTTTGCGGCTTGCTGTGATCTACGGCTGTGTGAAAACACACGGATGGAGCAATGCGGGTAATGTAGAACTGAAGCAACTCACAGGCAATCGAATTACTTTTTTACATTTCTTCTACCAAAGAGAAAGCCAGGCGGATTGTGCTCGCTGCTGACCGAAGCCCTACACTAGGTGTTGAAATATTTCGAGGGGATTTAGACAAAATTCGAAGTTTTGCATCTTTCTACCCTTTAACGAACTTTTCGCTGCGTGCCAGGCTGATCCTTTTGATGTACTGCGGAGCGCATCAAACAGGTCTATATGGTCAGTCTCATGGAAGACACCCAACTGATTCAAATCAAGTAAGCTGTAGAGTGAAATTTTCTTCTTCTTTTACAAGCTATCATGTTCTTGGACCCTGGGCTACATACGTACCAAGGTGAGAGGCAGTGTACGCCACATAGCTTCAGCAGCTGCGTGCGTCGCAAAACCCCAAATTACGACGACTGTAACAGCCGTTCTTTGATAGGCATTATTTCATACCAAGGCATAGTTTTAAGTATGTGATGAAATGTAGTTCTTTGTACAGCTGTGCGAGCTGGGAGTTACAGCCCCCCCCCCCCCCCGTTCAAAATTGGATTCACATCCCCCAGTTTTGAAGTCAGATCCAGATAGAACCCCATTTGTTGGCGTGCCTTGGGTTATTGTCGGTCCTTTTTTACATCTCAGCTTCCTCACACTTATTTTGCGAAACCATGTCCCTGATACGTGGAGTGGAGACAGACTGGCTACCTCACCACACCTCCGTTTCAAGAATTGGGGCAGTCATTTTATGTTCCACTACTATGGCGGACAGGAAAATGGCTAATGCTCAACAATTTAGCCACGCGCTCGCGTGCGCAGAAATATGCACGTTTTGCTCCGCTAAAATTTGTTGCATCCTACCCGGCGGGAGAATACTCCCTACTGGAGCAGTCATGGAAAAGTTGTTAAATTGGTGTTATGCTGAGCCTTTCAATTCCACAATCGAGAGAAACGTCTAGGGTGTATGCCGCACGTACTTCCAGGTTCAGACTTGCTTCGGGGTGATCTCCACTTACAACACAAAAATAATTGCTCGCCTTGCACCACGTCCCCCTGATATCCGTACAATATTCATTTCAATGCGGCGTAAAAATACCATAGCAATTTGCATCTCATTTCAGTGTAACATGCAAATTGCTCCGCGAGTACTTTGATGCAAATATAGTGTCTGAATTTGGCATACAAACTTGCTTCACTCCGTGATTAAGCGCTTTGACTAAATGCTGCAGTGAGGAATTTTCAGTTTTGAAATATTACAAACACCGTGCACAGAGTGGCGGGTTTCGCCATCTGATTTCTGTTTCGAGAAATCTTGAATAGTTTTACAGAAAGAATGTTCGAGCTGGAAACGATTTCTTACACCGCTATAATTAACATTATTCCAAAGGAAAATATATAAATGCTGTAAAACATTGCTACGAACAAGCGTCCGTGTTAACGGTCGTAACCATGATTGGATCCCATCTATCACATTGTATTGAGAATGTTATGTTATGTAAGAATATATGCTGGTACTCAGGGTATACGCATCGAAAGCAGTGTCAAGCGAAAATTAAATATTCAAGCTAAGAATGTTCGTCGGGACACGTGCGCTTTCAGATCACGTTATCTTATCCGGGGTCCCCTGTCAACTATGAGCTTTTCATTTTCGCTCATACCTTCCGAATGCGGTGCAATAGCTGTAGACATAAGCAACATGATATCGAACATGTATTTTAAGCATTCCGTGGAACATGCATGACACGATAAAGCACATTCAAAGCGGATCACAAAAAGGATGCTCAGCGGCCACCCTATGTCATTATTGTGCTTATTGCTGCGTTACCTTAATTATCCGAGCACTATTAAAGGTTCCAATGCTACAATACACGGCCGTGTATTTGTTAATCGCGCACCGTTTCCCGATGTTTTGTTTGAGTGCATCCCTGCTCGCACCGGCGTACCCGCCTGCTTACTTCAGCAAGGGCCCGCAGAAGTCGTCTCAGACCATGACGAGCCGGGGGTCGACAGCAGACAACCATGATGAGCCGGGAGGCAGCAGTAGATGCCTCAGTACATGATGAGCCCCAGCTCTGCGCCGGTGCCGAGCCGGACGCAGCGGGGCTGCGCGCCGGTGAGGAGGAGGCTTCGGGGGTCGTATGGGCCGATCATGTGGCAGACGCGACCCGGCGGGCACTCCAGGTTGCAGTTCCCGCACGTAGCTACGTTGCCCTCCACGGTGCACGAGTTTTCCGGGCAGCCGATGCTCTTGCAGGAGGCCACGCAGCGGGGCGCGGCGCCAGCCCTCGAGCAGGCCTGGCCACGCTGGCAGCGCACGAGCCCGCAGACTTCGCCGGGGGTGTCCTTGCAGCGCGCACGGCCACCCGAGACCGCGCATGTCTGGCCAGCGTTGCACCGCACCTCCGAACACGTCGCCGGCGGGGCGGAGACACAGCGCGCCACGCCGCCCGACATGGAGCACTTCTGGCCGCTGCTGCAGCGCAGTGTGGCGCAGGTCGGCTTGGGCGGGATCGGCGTGTAGCAGCGTGCCTGGCCGCCGCTCTCGGAACACTTCTGACCCCGGCCGCACCTCAGCGTGGCGCAGGTTGGCTTAGGCGGGACAATGGTCTTGCAACTAGCGCCTTCATCGCTCTCAAAACAAGCTTGGCTCTTGCCGCACCTAAGCGTGGCGCAGGTCGGCTTGGGTGGGACAATGTTCTTACAACTAGCGCCTTCATCGCCCTCAACACAAGCTTGGCTCTTACCGCACCTCAGCGTGGCGCAGGTCGGCTTGGGCGGGACAATGGTTTTACAACTAGCGCCTTCATCGCTCTCAAAACAGGCCTGTTCCCTACCGCATCTCAGCGTGGCACAGGTCGGCTTGGGCGGGACTCTGATTTCACAAGTAGCACCTTCATCGCTTTCAACACAGGCTCGGTTCTCACCGCATCTCAGCGTGGCGCAGGTCGGCTTGGTCTTGACGCAGCGCGCCGTTCCGCCGCTCTCAGTGCAGGCTTGGTCCCTACCGCACCTCAGCGTGGCGCAGGTCGGCTTGGGCTTGACGCAGCGCGCCGCACCGCCGCTCTCAGTGCAAGCCTGGTCCCTACCGCATCTCAGCGTGGCGCACGTCGGCTTGGGCGGAACAACAGCCTTACAACTAGCGCCTTCATCGCTCTCATAACAGGCTTGGCTCTTACCGCACCTCAGCGTGGCGCAGGTCGGCTTGGGCGGACTGGTGGCCCTGCATCTCGCGTATCCATCGCTCTCAAAGCAGGCCTGGTTCTCACCGCACTTCAGAGTGAGGCAGGTCGGTGTTGGCTGCTCCGCGCTGACGCAGAGCGCCCGTCCACCTAAGATGCTGCAGGTGCGGCCCTTGCCACATCTGACGCCTTCACAGAAGGTGCCGGTCAGCAGCTCGCAAGCGCCCCAGGTTGCGCTCGATGACGCAGCGCTGGTCCTCGCGGCACGACGTGTCGGCGCACGTGGTGATGTGCACGCAGTGCGGCTCGCCGGCGTACATCTGGCACAGCAAGTCGGTCTCTGTGCAGACGAAGTTTTCGCAGCTGGGGGCGCCAGGCGACAGCCGGATGGCGGCGTCGCGACTCTGCTGGGCTGCGGCCACCGCCAGCAACGGCAGAAGAAGTAGGAGGACGCGAGCAACAGGCATGGCGGCTGAATAGGTGCGAGTGATTCCGAGGGGCCGGCGGCCGCTTTTATAGCGGCCGCAGAGTATCTCGATCCCTCACACACGACCCCGTCATTATTCATCCGGCTGCCGCCCCGGGGCGGGTCCGATAACGGCGGGAGCTGGGGCTAGACGTCTGCCTGGCTTCGTGCCGGGGTGCGGTTTTATGCGGCGAGCTGAGCTCTGCAGCGCCGCTGTTGGACTCTGTGACAAAAAGATGCGCAGCAATCAACATAGATAACTGTGCAGGACCGAAAACATGTCCTAGGGTCAACCAAAACACAAAGCAAGTGAGTTTGATGACATGATTGCATGTCATTATATCGTATAGTCTGATTTCATGTCTGGCCTAAAACAAGCCCAGGCAGCGTTATCCCAATTCGGGCACGGTCACTATTATTAGCGCGCCGGCCGCCAACCAAACGCAGAACATATGTTTGAAAGCATAGCCAATTTGTGACAGTGCGCTGCGGCCAGCCTTCGAGCTTGCCGAGTAACCTAAAACATTTGTTATGCGCCAAATCTTGGTCTGTACATGGTTCGCTACATCGTAACCGATTGAACAACGCCCTATATATGGTATAAATCGTACATTGCGTGATAGCATGTATTTTGTTGCAAAAACGAGCGGTGTTCTTAAAGATCAATATTTTGGCCGCAGGCCGGTCGAGACGATGTAATCTTTTTGAATATTCAGTCCTGGACGTTTTGGATAAATGGATTTCTGGGCTTAGCGTGCACGCTGAGCGGTGCTTGTCGCGCCGACCCTGGTCCCTGACGTCCTGTTGTGAAATTCAGGGTGAAGGGCAGAATTTTTTTGGTGAAAGCGTAAAGTATCGCGATGCTTGGTACGGTCCGCGCTGCCCCGACGTCGCGTCTCCTTTGACGCGGCGGCTGCCACCGGCCGCAGGTCACGCCAATCAGGGGCAAACAGAGGGCTTCTTAAGCGATTCGAACCCATCCCGCCACAGGTGGGTGCATCGGAGGCGTTCCAACTACCTACAACTTCATTCGGCACGGACAGTGTAGTCGGACTAATAAAGATAGATAAGGATATTTATCAGCTCTGCAGAGTGGATAAAGGATAATTTTTTCCGTTAAGAAAATCTTAACTCCTTAGAAAACATTGTGGAAGGCAAATTCGCGCTGGTCACGATATATTTATTGTCTAAATAATTGTGTGCTGGAATTTTAGTCGGTGTCTTCATGTTTTTTTTTTATTTTTCCATTTCGGCTATGGCGGGATGTCATCTCTTGCATGTCAATGTGCAAAAGTTGTCACCAGCGTTTTACGAAATTCCATAATTTTGCAGTGCAAACACAGTAGTTTTGTTTTATGGTTAGTAGCGTACCTCAGGCTTTCTGGTCACTCCATTCACTGAAATGTGTTTGCTTCGTTTGCCGCACTTTGAGGTACACCTGATCATGAAAACCACCTAGACGGGCCATTCCGACTGAACATGGCGCTCACTCGAAGTGTTTGACCCATGGCTGATCTTTGAATGTTCTTGGTTTAGAAATCAAGCATTCAAATTAACCGCAGAATACCTGTCCCTGCTTTCTTTATGTGGTTTGATGTTCAATATATATATATATATATATATATATATATATATATATATATATATATATATGTGTGTGTGTGTGTGTGTGTGTACAGGAAATGTTTCTAAGTTGAGATTTCTCGTGAATTACACATCGGCATGCAATTTATTCCTCTAAATCTCACCGACGCTCCCATGACTCTCCTACTGGCAGTTGCCCCTCCTGGAGTTTCTGAATAACTTGAGAAGTGTCCCAGGGCGATCCAGCAAGCTTTCAAAACATGTCAGACAACACATTCACATCATGAAGGGAAACATATTCAACGCTAGGCCAGTTCAGTGAGTAATGACATCATCGCCTTTGCCTCTATGTGCCGTAGTTTGGCAAATCGCTTTATTGCTTGGGATTGCTTTCAGTACTTGATCGACTCGCTTGACTGTTTGATAGTCAACCCTCTTATGGCAGACTTTTGCTTGCCAGTTGGAGAGTTTAAGATGCGGACTTTTAGCCCCCGGCGGACGCGGTTGGTGGCTTGGTGCCGGTTTAACGGGATCTCAAAGCATTCTCCCAGGAGTATGACAGCCTCAGCTGCATGTTCTCCAAATGTCAGTTATCCATTCGCGCCGTTAGAGGTCAGTATGGCTCATGAGAAAGCCGGGCGGTTACCTCGGCTCTTGCCCGCGGCACGGCGCGCTAATGAAGGATTAAGTGCAGCACCGCCATGGGCATGGCGATAAGTGTCCAGAATTCTACTTCGCCATGCTACTGACCAGCAGCCTCTAGCTCACAGGTCAGCCCCCTGATAAGGCGTTATCAATGTTCTGTTCTTCCCTTGTAAACATAGTGCCACACAGTTCTCGCTCACTTCTGAACACCAGGATCTTTATGCTTTGGTGTCCTTGTGGTTACTACACAGCATGGTTAGGAGGATGTGTTCGCATCGGCTAAACCACGAGCTACTAACCACAAAAGGGCATAACTGGGCGCGAGCGGCATAGCTGGTCTCTTGGCCCACACCTGGAAGTCACAAACCGAAAATATCAGTCGTTAATAATTTGTTGAAAACATCATGGTTTTGTCGCCACTTCAGCACACTTCTGTGGTGAAATTATCATCAAGCTCGCCAGGGCCTTCCAAGCATGATATTGCACACGAGTAGTAAGTGGGACCTTTCGCCACAAAACCCGCCAGCAGACAGCTCTCAGCAGCGTCATGACACGCCTTTGCGCCTCCTGTCGCCTGCCCTTCGCCATGATATCAATGCAGCGCTGACCCAGCTAGGAAACAGCACGCGACCGCGCTATCGCGGGCCCAGTGCAGACAGCTCGTTCTTCGGGCATCGCGAAGGCGCACGCGCACTGGGTCTGCGCTGTTACCGCTCGTCGACCACACCAGTCGCCGCACGGTGCCCTAGCGCCGGTCCCCTGCGGCGGGCCAGCGCGGCCATGGTGTCCTAAATTGTATCCGTGTTGTCCATGGTGTCAGATATCCTAGCTCCGGCCCCAGCGGCGGACTGGTGCGGCCATTGTGTCCTAACGCCGGCCCCAGCGGCGGACCGGTGCGGTCATGGTGTCCAAGCGCCGGCCCCAGCGGCGGGCCCGCGCGGCCACGGTGTCCTAAATTGTATCCGCGTTGTCCATGGTGTCAGATATCCTAGCTCCGGCCCCAGCGGCGGGCCGGTGCGGTCATGGTGTCCTAGCGCCGGCCCCAGCGGCGGACCCGCGCGGCCATGGTGTCCTAAATTGTATCCGTGTTGTCCATGGTGTCAGATATCCTAACGCCGGCCCCAGCGGCGAACCCGTGCGGCCATGGTGTCCTGGCGCCGGCCCCAGCGGCGGACCCGTGCGGTTATGGTGTCCTAGCGCCGGCCCCAGCGGCGGACCCGTGCGGCCATGGTGTCCTAGCGCCGGCCCCAGCGGCGGGTCCGTGCGGCCACCCACGTACGGTGTCAGATGTCATCGATGGGTGCTTCGCATGCTGAACGAATGTCTGGTTTTCCCGCGCTTGGTCAGCATCACGGGCTAGTGCACCGCCGATTCGCAAAATGCGATAGGGCTGATGCGGGCCGGCTTTCACGCCGGCCTAGTGCACGGTCATCCGCGGGAACCACAGCATGGTGCAGAGAAAACAACGATAGCTTTTCGCCTGCATTGCATTTAGCCTCACTCAGATCTTGCTCAAACACCAGAAGCAACGGACCCTCTGGGATGTAGATGAAGATATAGATATAGATATAGATATAGATATAGATATAGATATAGATATAGATATATATATATATATATATATATATATATATATATATATATATATATATATATGTATATATATATATATATATCTATCTATCTATCTATCTATCTATCTATCTATCTATATATCTATATATCTATATATATATCTATATAAAAGTTTTTGTTCCGGTCGATTGGCATACCAAATAAGATAAATAAGAACCCGAATTAGGCGTGCGTTAACCATTGTAGTTTAGGTAAGATGATAATGGGCAGATGCTCTTTGGAATAATGCTGTTCGATTTCAGCATTGGGTGTGCTTTAGAAACGTATTTTCAGCGTTATCGGTCAATTGCCGGCTTTCGTATAGTTGGGGAAACGTCAAACATGCCGCACAATTCGTAGTATTATTAAGCGTCAGCGTTTCACAGAACAACGGCTGCATTATCAGGTAAAGTAACGCACACGCTCGATGTGGACCATCATGGCTTAAAACACTCAAACACAGCTCTTAAATGCCACACATGCACACGCAGTGACATGAAATCAAGCTAGCAATGCTTAAGGTATAATTATCGTATATATCATTATATATCAATAAATACCATTTTCATAATTTGATCCGCGTGCTAATGTCAGTCACTCGTACAAAGTTCATGTCAGTCACACCAAGTGTCTTATGTACAGGCTTGGCCCATACGCTTCCAAAAGATATAGACTGGAAAAAGTACAGTGAAAAGCAACTATGATAATAAATGGGATTGGTGACTTTATATATATATATATATATATATATATATATATATATATATATATATAGGTAGGCGTAGGGTCTTGGATTTGTATTCATTGAAATATCGTAGGCTTAGAAGCGATCAGATAGAAGTATCAGGTAGCTTATGACAGGGTCAGACAAGATACATCTGCATAAAGCATTAGAAATGAGCCTGAGACACGGAGAAAACCAGTTATGGTTAGGAAAAGGTAGGAGTAGAGCTATGAGGAGGCAGATGCCATTAAGTCAAAGAATAGTAAACCGTTGGAAGGGGCTGTCAAATGAAGTTGTAAGAAGTCTCTTTCAAGCAATACTTAAAGACGGTTTGGACAAGTTCTATCGTTCTAAATATTTCATTCATAGCTAAAGGTTTTCAGGCCTGGTGGTAAGATAAGTTTTGAGGATGCGCACGAAACTTTAGGTGGACG